TTCGTGTCATAATTCAATTTGAAACTTCAATGTTTTCAATTGACAAATGTTTGTATTAATGTGTGCTTCAAGGAGTAGATACAACAGTTAAACCCTGCATGGTCACACAATTTGTAAAGGAAGAGCCCTGCCCGCTGTACGTCATCTGCTACCTGTACACCACGCGTCCTGCCCGCTGTACACCTCCTACTACCTGCACACCACATGTCCTGCCCGCTGTACATCCCCTACTACCTGTACACCACATGTCCTGCCCGCTGTACACCTCCTACTACCTGTACACCACGTGTCCTGCCAACTGTACAACCCCTACTACCTGTACACCACGTGTCCTGCCCACTGTACATCACCAAGTACCTGTACACCACGTGTCCTGCCCGCTGTACATCCCCTACTACCTGTACACCACGCGTCCTGCCCGCTGTACATCCCCTACTACCTGTACACCACGTGTCCTGCCCACTGTACATCCCCTACTACCTGTACACCTGTAGTCCTGCCCGCTGTACAACCCCTACTACCTGTACACCACGTGTCCTGCCCACTGTACAACCCCTACTACCTGTACACCACGTGTCCTGCCCGCTGTACATCCCCTACTACCTGTACACCACGTGTCCTGCCCGCTGTACATCCCCTACTACCTGTGTCAAATCGCTGTCTCAGATGACTCAGTTTGCTTTGCCCTAAATATCACGACGGCACACAACCCTCGGATGCTAGTCTGTCATACAGGCCGTGATGTAGCCTGTGTCACAATCCTTGAATCAAATTATTTCCTCTTTCGCCCTTACTGTAACACTTTTGTCCTAAATGAAGTCTAGATTATCCACATGGTTAGACTGAAACTTCAATCTCACCGGGGCTCCTATTCAATTTAAATTCAGTTGATTGTTTCTATCAAAATAATATTATTTTCAGGGACCAAGCATTAGTCTTTCCATGAAGGATAGTATCCAAATGATCCATGCAAGTCTATAATTGTTTTGCAAGTCTAGATTTCTTCAAAAAGACTATCCATGTTCTTTTCGATCGTATATCGAAAGACTATTAAGCTTTTTATGAAATCTAGAAAGTCTATGTTAGTATAGCGGCTTGCTAGACATATCACTTTCAAATGCTTATCGAATTTATTTTTCAACATGTCAGTGTAGATCTTTTAATATCCTTTCACGCTAAACACATGTACTGATTAATTAAAGTGGTAATACCATGCAGAAAATAACACTTTTTGTAACAAGAGGTTGGGCTTTATTTATTGTAACAAATACATAACTTTTTCCATTCACATGTCCAAATGTATACTTAATATTTTTTCATATATTAAGGTTCTACTTGTGATCTTTATTCGTGCTTTGTAATCTATTTTTCTACAGGAACCTTTTTTGGTGGACCCCAATCGTTACGTAACTCTAGACAGCAATATTCAAGTCATGATTTCATGACCCGTCTAAGATGTGTCAAACCAATGCAGTAAAATGTCTGAATATTGCTGAACGTTGTATGATCGAAGCAGATTAGAAACACACTTAATCATCTACGATCAGTATATATGTAACGCTTTGAGCATAATTTAGGGCGTAGATTTGGCGCATTATAAATATGCACATTATTTGGGTCAACAAAAGAAATGTTTGGCCGAGACGCTAAAACTGCCTTAACCTGTGTTGCAAAACGAACACATTTCTTGAAAGTTTTTTTAACATAAATAAGTAGAAGAATCTCAGCACTTGTACACAGCAGACTTAATTCAAACTTAACTATTGTTTTTAGTTTCAACAAAATCAGTAAATGTGCAATCGTGTCACTGGATTTCTGGTCCATCACTTCATGCTTCATGATATGTTGAATGACTTTCCTGGTGACACGAATGTCTTGCTACAAACAGGTATGTGATATACTGAAAGCCCTTTCCTTTTGACGCGACCTTGTTGCTACATATATGATTCACTGAAAGCCCTTTACTGTTGACACGACCTTGTTGCTACATATATGATATACTGAAATGCCCTTACTGTTGACACGACCTTATAGCTTCATATATGATATACTGAAATGCCCTTACTTTTGACACGACCTTATTGCTACATATATGATATACTGAAATGCCCTTTACTTTTGATACGACCTTGTTGCTACATATATGATATACTGAAATGCCCTTTACTGTTGACACGACCATGTTGCTACATATATGATTCACTGAATGTCCTTCATTGTTGACACGACCTTGTCACATATATGATTCACTGAATGTCTTTTTTTGTTGACACGACCTTATTGTCACATATATGATTCACTGAATGTCTTTTTTTTGTTGACACGAAGTTATTGCTACATATACGATATACTGAAATGCCCTTTACTTTTGATACGACCTTTTTGCTACATATATGATATACTGAAATTTCCTTTACTGTTGACACGACCTTATTGTCGGCAAAACAGTTGAATGCGAACCATACAGGAGCCATAGGGACACTTATCTATCCTTGTGATGATCTACAGCAGATGCAGTACACAACAATCTACATGACACCTATCTGACCTTGTGGTAATCTACAACAGATGCAGTACACAACAATCTACATGACACCTATCTAGCCTTGTGGTGATCTACAACAGATGCAGTACACGACAGTCTACATGGCACCTATCTTGCCTTGTGATTATCTACAACAGATGCAGTACACAACAGTCTACATGACACCTTTCTAGCCTTGTGGTAATCTACAACAGATGCAGTACACAACAGTCTACATGGCACCTATCTTGCCTTGTGGTAATCTACAACTGATGCAGTACAAGACAGTCTACATGATACCTATCTAGCCTTGTGGTGATCTACAACAGATGCAGTACACAGCGGTCTACATGACACCTATCAAGCCTTGTTGTGTTCTACTACAGATGCGGTACACACCGGTCTACATGGCACCTATCTAGCCTTGTGGTAATCTACAACGGATGGAGTACACAACAGGCAACATGGCACCTATCTAGCCTTGTGATATTGATGATGATTAATACATGTTGTATGTATAATTGTAACAATGATTTTAAAAATTCATGAAATTATAGACGTAGATTTGCATGCCATCCAAGCATGTCACAACAAATTAATACCGGTTCAGTCCTATGATGCTTTCAGTGAGGTTTTTGTAATGATATACCTGACAGATGTCCGCGGCAAGCTAGTACATAATGACTTTCGCCAGTTAATGACGCATAGTGGTAACGAAATTCACACATATTAATGTAATAAAAATGGCTAGGCATGTAACATATGGCAATTATTTGACATATTAGGTTTCAGACTTTTATGTCAAACAACCTATTATATTCCCAACTGTATCAAGCAAATTATTTATTTGCTGTGCATCATCAAACATACTATCAATTTTTACTACTAACACAAGAAATGTTGACGTTTGTGTATATTCAACAAAACAAATCATTCATTTCTTCACCATTGCCAACAGACTATTCATTTGGGGCATGTGTCTGAACAGTCTATTCATTTAAATAGTCTTGTCCCCGTCCAACAGAATTGATGCTGCTTTACTGCTGTGTTTCACTAATGTTGTCGGGGGCACGGGTGGCCCAGTCGTCTAAGGCGCCGCGATTCGCTGTGCAGGGTTGCGTCCCTTGGGCACGCCAGAAACCTATGATTGTGGGTTCGAATCCCGGTTCGCCCCGATTATGTTTCTAGGTTTGTCAGCACCATACCCGTGCTCGTGGGTTTCACCGAAGTGGTAAACGTCTGAGACCTGCATCACTTCGGGCTTTCCTCCCGCCGCGATATAACTGGAATAATGTTAAAAGCGGCGTTAAACCCAACTCACTCACTCACTAATGTTGTCATTCATGATCACTATAATTTCAACGATGTCAAATTAAATGTACAAAGAACGCATCTCCTATTCCAGATGAAGAATACTCACAGTGATACCATAACTATTAAAGTTCTAGCAAATAAAGTCCATCTGAAATTCAATATGCACAGTCTTACGATTAATTTGTGTAATTTCATTCTGATTTCTTGGTTGTCCATTACCAAGCCGCACGTTGGTTTCACCAAAATGGTCTAAAACTGCATTCCCTTCGGCCGCAGGCTTTCCTTCCACATGAAGCTTACATATTGGTCAAAAACCCAATTCAATCTTACACTCATTTAGTTCTAGGTTCAATGCCATCGGTATATCTGTCATTACTTGTACTTCTTCTATGCAACTGTTAGTAGCAAAATGTACACAGAGTGGTGTTTTGGCGTATGGGTTGATTTGAAATCATGAAAAAAATTTCTTGAATTAAATGGTGTTTCAAAGAGCGCCATACGACCTCAGTAAAGCTTTAACAAAAAGGGTTATGGCAGACATGTGGAGGACATTTCCAAATTTGACGCATCAATGACCAAAATGATGTCCGATGCAATTCCCTATTTTGACTTGTACCATACGTTCCCGTGTTTATTTTTCAGGTAAACAATTGACTTGCCTTTGCATGTGTTTGTGACGGTGCCACTGGTGGGGCAGGAAACGCTCACCTTTTCGCGAACACCTGGTAGCATTACTATTTGGTAGTGATTCATAAACACATGCTCATGATATAGTCGGAATCGTACAATCGACAATCGACTCGAGATTCCTATTGGATATGAAAAGGGTTTTGTCGTTTTATTTAAAAACTGAAGCAGGATCCTGAACCTCTTTCGTGATCAACGTTGGAGTTGTCACTTCCTGCTGTGATTCTAACGCTTGTAAACATGGGTGTACACATCTATCAGGTAAGGTAAAATAGATTGAGTCATCCTGCTTTACAGTCATCAATCATAAACTGTCAAAATAACATACATATGGATGTGTTGTAAGATACAAGGAACCTTAGAAGACCCCAATGATTCAAGTTTAACATTTATGTTAGGATTATATTATCATGCATCGTGGATATTTCAATGATCTAAGTTGAACATCAGCGTCAGTAAAACAAACATTGTAAGGAACTGTCGATATTTCAATGATCTGAACATTAGTTTATTGGAAAACAAATATTTGAAAGCACTGTGGATATTCCCATGATCTATGTTAAACATTAGTTTTATGGGAAAATACATATTGTAAGTCACTGTGGATATCCCATGATCTATGTTAAACATCAGTTACAGAGGAAAATGAATATTGTAAGGCACTGTGGATATCTCATGATCTATGTTAGTCATCAGTTACAGAGGAAAACAAATATTGTAAGGCACTGTGGATATCCCACGATCTATGTTAAACATCAGTTACAGAGGAAAACGAATATTGTAAGGCACTGTGGATATCTCATGATCTATGTTAAACATCAGTTACAGAGGAAAACAAATATTGTAAGGCACTGTGGATATCTCATGATCTATGTTAAACATCAGTTACAGAGGAAAACAAATATTGTAAGGCACTAAGGATATTTCCCAGTTGAACATCAGCGTAAGGAAAATATTTTCATGATCGTTGACCATTAGTGTTAGTGTCACACGTGGAAAGATACCAATTGCAAACAGTCGAAGCTGTTTATCGCCACAGGTGTTAATGTTAAATGCCTATCACGGCTTGATCAGAGTTCTTGACGAGTATGGCGCAGGTTTGAAACATAGTATCAAACGATTTCGAAAACACTTCGCGGGTTAAATAACCACGCAGTTGGAAAGCATCATTTGTGTTCCTTCTGACAAAACCTTGGTGTTACGGGATATGTCAGCTGATGTCATCGCAAGATAGCTACCAAGTGTTCAAGGAGCCGAGATATGTCATGACGTTCAGTGTGTTTTTGATGGGTCAGCATCTTTCTTGGCTCTCTTTACATGGCAGTGACGACAGAATTCTCAGTGACGGGATGCGCCTGAGTGACGCTGCCGTTGCTGGCGTGGTTGTTTTTGGCACGTTGTGTATAGTAGGAGGCGGCGGGGCTGAGAAAGTGTCCAGGTGGGGCCTTGGTCTGACGATGTGCGTTGTTTAAAAAGCCCTCCTTGGAATGCTGCTCAACCTTGAGGCCACGGCCATCGTTCATGACTTGCACTTCCAGGCTGTCGTAGCCGACCGCGTGGTTCTCGCTTTCAAAGCCTCTGTTGAGGAGTCCGGGAACGACTGGAAGAGATGGAAAGTGAAGATAGGTTACTTGAGTATGTGATGAAGCAAATAAATGAGGTTTCAGACGTAGGCAGCAACATGATCGAAGTTCGGAGGAATGTTTTGACGTGAAACGGTGAGAGTACAAACACAAGGGATGGCTGTATAGTTAGTTAAACACATACATTGGCACTACCACAGTCACACATATATTATACACACATACATATGTACACACATAAATACTGTCACTTACACACATAGATATGTGCACACATAAATACTGTCACTTACACATATAGATATGTATACACATAAATACTGTCACTTACACACATAGATATGTGCACACATAAATAATGTCACTTACACATATAGATATGTGCACACATAAATACTGTCACTTACACACATAGATATGTGCACACATAAATACTGTCACTTACACATATAGATATGTACACACATAAATACTGTCACTTCCACACATACATATGTACACACATAAATACTGTCACTTACACATATAGATATGTACACACATAAATACTGTCACTTCCACACATACATATGTACACACATAAATACTGTCACTTCCACACATAGATATGTGCACACATAAATACTGTCACTTACACATATAGATATGTGCACACATAAATACTGTCACTTACACATATAGATATGTGCACACATAAATACTGTCACTTACACATATAGATATGAATTCACATATGAGCACTGTCACTGACACAAACATGTATACGTTACAGTAAAATGTGTACAATCCGCCAATGTGTAAAATGTGATTCACTCAAGCAATCTACAAAATGCCTGTCATTTTACAAATGGACTGAAACATAAGTCGATATATATTAAAAATTGACTAAAAATTGAGAATATCGTTTTCAGTCACTGGGTGTTGAAATTCATCATCAAAATGTTTGGGATTCGTTATCATAATAAAATAAATGAACAGATGTTTCAGGCCATTTGTAAAATAACTGAAACAGTTTGACATTGCCTCAGCGGACATGGTCAGTCATTTAACACATGGACTGTAACATGTATACAGTTGTGGAGGGGACAATATAAGCATCTTATTGTTTGGTTAAGACACATGTAACATATGCTGCAGATATCTTTTCATTGCTTTTGTGACAAATACGTTCAAAGATGAGTTCTGCATGGACATCAACTTAAATAAGTCATACATATTGATATATACATGTACAAGTCATGCTCTTTTCTTCTCAACATTATGTTTCAAAATTATAATCATTTAAATGCCACATTAATATGTATTAGTATTCCGTTCTTGTTATTCTCATCCCAACTCTGCAAACAGAAGCTGCTATTTAACAGCATACACGACGAAATGTTTGCACGAAATATGATAAAATCGAAATTTTCTTTCGGTATTTTGTTCCAAAACAATAAGCTGCTGAATCGAATAAATATGTTCTGAACGACCACGATTCTATTTTGTCTATTTTTATCTTAATCCGATATGTACTTGTCGTCTAAATTGAAAACTCTATTCTAAAGTGTCAGTTAAATTCATTACACAAATTCAAAAACGATACTGGAAGTAACATCAGTGTCAAGAATAAATTATACATTAACGTTCATAACCAACGTCCCCTCGATCGCGATCCGGTCGCGACAAGCGTGCGATCCCATGGCGGCTGGTCATAGCTATGATCGCGGTCGGACTGCGAACGGAACACGACAAAGGGGATGTTAGTTTAGAAGAACATAGATTTACTGAGATACTGGTACTTGTCAGTAAGAAACTTGAAATATATGGAGTGTAGGTATGTATCGCGGATACACACATAGGATAGGTGCAGTAGAAAAGCGACATGTAATTACTTGTGAGTCGCGCAGGATACACACAGCAACGAGAACACATTAACAAGCTTTTATTCAAAACACTGGAGATTCGAAAACGATTGCCAGCCAATGTGTACAAAACAGGGAATACATGTACACAGAGAACACAGCATGATACACATAACATAGGTACAATAAGATTTTAGTCTAAGTAATAAATACTTTGATGCATACGTTAAGGTATGTGTATACAAACAATCACATTTCGCCATTTTTCAGTTCCCACAGTGGCAATCACCCGTGTATCGTCACAACCATTAGGCCACATACAGAGTACTGTTTCTCGTCACTTATAAAAATATGTAAAATGAGTAGGTAGGTCGAATTTAAATTATGTTGTATTGACCCAAATCCATAACACAACACCCCAACCCATAAAACAGTAAGCTCCTAAATCGCAAAAATCCCGGACGACATTGGCGGACGTTATTGTGGATTTCGTAAAAAATGCAACCTCGGAATGTAAAATAAAAGCCTAAAAAGAAGAAAAGGAACCGAATTTAGTAAGCGTCCCCCCTCTCCAAACAACAACACAGAAACACAAAACTAAATAAAACACACACAATAACCTCTTTAAAGTAGGGTAGATATGTGTTGGTTAGTGATGCGGGCTTTGAAGTGTTTGTGTCTCTACTGACTGATATCTGTCTGTCCCAATAGGTTCAGTATTGCTGTAAAAGGTATTTAAAAGCAATTATCTTGATGACTAGCAGAGTTATATGTACATGTGAATTTCGTAGCAATATCTCTATGCTACAGTAGTCTTAATTTGCACAATGTTTCTCTAGCACAATCCACTCTCGATTTCTCCACCTTGGATGCATCCAGAGGTATAAACGTGCACGGGAATACGCAGCAATGCTCCGCTCTATCCATGTCTAAAGATGAGGGATGTTCATTGACTCTTAAAGTTGCATCAAACAATATAAGTCGTGACAGTCATGGAAGTTCCACCGGAAACGCTCCTTGGCATTGACGGTCCTGCGCAGATGCAATGTACACGTAATTTCGAAGTGAAGCCATTTAAGTCAAAATTGAACCTGAAGAGAAATATGTCTGAATAGAGTAAAATGTCACAACTTTAACACTTCCGAACATGTTCATTAACTACTAGGTCAGGTCTGAATTTCAATTTGCTTCATATGAAGATATTCGTTCATTGTGACATTTTAATGTGCGGCCATGCAGTGTAAGTGTAGAACATTGGACAGAAGGAAAAACAGTTTGAAGCCAAGTGTACACTGAAGCATTGTGAAAAGAGACAGCTATTGTTTAGTACAACAACCGAATAACATGGTTTGGAATGAAAGGGCAGACACAATGTTAGTGTAGGGGGATAAGTAGTCAACGCTTGATTTAGATATATTGACAAGTTAGTGTCTGAATTCCTATAATTGGGCCGGGTTGCAAGCCAAGAATCGCTTAGTTGAAGCAAATAAATCGCTCATCCCGGGGTCTGCAGCAGCTCGAAGCGCCTGCGTACGCTTCCAAAATGGCGGCGCAACTACCGCTTGGTTGCCTTGCCCTAATGAAGAACGTAATAGAAGAGGCTCGATGACGAACTGATGAAACTTATGACTACTTTGAAGATGTGGATCAGACTGAGAATGACGGGGTATTAGCTCCCTTTGCTCATTTCCCAGTTGATCCAGTCAAAAATTTCTTGTGCCGATGTCAAGCTCAGCCGCCATTTTTGTTTGAGAACGAAGCGACCTTAGTCAGCGATTAGTATCATTGCAAGGGGCTGAAAGTTGTAAGGCAAATCGCTGTACTTCGCTTGCAAGCGATTGGCGTTTGCAACGCACCACTGATCTTAAAACGTTTAAGTTGCGTCCCTTAGGCGTGTCAGGATCCAATAACCATATGTTCGAATCCGAGAGTAAACCTGGTTTTGATCCTTGGTTTGTCAGCACCATAATCGTGGTGTTTTACCAAAGAGTAAACGTAAAAAATTGCCTCACTTCAGGCTTCCATCACATATTATGAAGCGCCATGACATAACTAAATCTGAAATATTGTACAAAATGCCGTTAAAATCACTACTCACTTTGAAGCAACTACAAGCTGCAAACATGTTTAAATCTGAGTATAGGGGTTAACGAAGATTTATAGGAATATTATCTGAAAAATAAATATAGGAATGACATAAATATTATATAATTTTTGCGTTTTGATGTGTGAGCAAGCACATACACGTGCACAAATGTGTGCATGATGATTATAGCGTCATTTCCTACCTTGCTTTTCGGTCCCACCTTCCGCTACAAACAAATCATTATGGACGCATCAACCATATACCCCAGCATGCAATATACCAAAACTAAACTCTAAGTGCAAAAAAAGCAGGACGGTAAGAACTGAATACACTGAAACCCCGTTAATCCGTCCTCGAAAAATAGTCCAGATCAACAAATGTAAAAAAAATACAATATTCATTAAAAAAAGTTACCCAAACCAAAAATAACAATACCCGTGAAGATTCCGGGGTACATATAGGTCTTCAGCAACCCATGCTTGCCGTAAAAGGTGACTGTGCTTGTCGTAAAAGGCGACTAATTATAACGGGATCGGGTGGTCAGGCTCGCTGACTTGGTTGATGCATGTCATCGATCCCAATTGTGTGGATCGATGCTCATATCAATCACTGGATTGTCTGGTCCAGACTCGATTATTTTACAGACCGCCGTCATATAGCTGGAATATTGCTGAGTGCGGCGTTAAACAACAAACCAAACAACCAACCAACCAAAAATAACAATAGCCTGATTAACAAATGAAAACAAATAGCGAGCTATGTAATGCTTGTTTGTAACGCAAAACCGACAAAACTAACATCAGGAAAAAGTGTTGTTATACTTTGTATCGCTCAAAATAAACAGACATATCGCCAGATATAATGCATGCATATCGGGTATGGTACAAATTTGTACCACATATTTAGGTTGTCGTCTATTGGCTGAAACATTAAGCTCGCAGTAGAACCAGAGCCCACTTGTACAAAACGATCTTAGTGCTACGACTATTGTAAGGCTATGTTAAAGTATGGGAGTTACGATCATCTTAGCCCTAAGATCGCTTTGCGCAAGTGGGCCCAGATTTTGAAGTTAATTTGTTTTGTATGTACATTGATGTTCCGAAAAGATGCGGAATGTGGAGTTAACTGGGTTCGGATTAACGAGGTTTCATTGTAAATACTAGTACCCAAGATGCACAAAACATTAAATGAAACTAACATAGAAACATTCGATTCTCGAGTAAAATATCATGCAAGCCATTTTGGATGTAATGATAGAATTTTAACAATCATAGACATTAGAAACATGTCATACAATGGACCCCATAGGACACTAACCAAACGGGAGTACAAATCATATAAACATATCACAAAGAATAATATACCTTCAGAGTATACTTATGAAAAAGTTGAATTAAAAATGTCATTGATGATACATATATTATATTCCTTAACTTTATTCTATCTACGGATTGGTATCGGGAAAATTAGGAAATTAGAAGAATGACTTTAGTATCATTACCCATAATATTGATACATAGACATTCAAGGGAAACTACAATCATCTCAAAGTAATATTTGTATCCAACCATAAATACATGCACAGGTATGATTCAATTTATATAATACTTTGTCCAGAAGACAAAATATCAGAGTAGCTGCATCTTTTGTCATATAAGTACAAGTGCGTTAATACAATTCAATCTGCGATCTTTACCATATACATAAACATAAATTATATAAATATACATGTACATAAATTCGGTGCACACATAACTGGTCTTTAATAGACATTAAGTTGGAAGAACACCATGAAACGTCGTTACAAAAACAAAGAAGTTCTTATTCCTAAACATATCGGATTTAGTGATTCAATGAGTCTAAGCATTTATCTAGATACTACAGGGAAGGGCGACGAGCAAACAGGCAAGGAGGTTCTATCTAGGCCTAGTTGGTGTACAGAGTGTGTTTGAGGATACATACCTTGCTGGATCTCTGACAGTCTTCCGTCCTCCAACACCTGCAGGATGTGTTCCACCCAGCCATGACCGTAAGATTCCATGGGGTAAGCCGGCTCGCCGTGCTTGGGGATGTCCAGACCTGCAACACAACCGGGGCAACTTGCAACATTTGCAATAGTGTGTAGACACAGCTTGTAACATATGTAAGAATATGTAGGCACAACTTGTAACATGTGAAGGAGAGTGTAGGTACAACTTGTAACAGGTGTAAGAATATGTAGGCACAACTTGTAACATGTGAAGGAGAGCGTAGGTACAACTTGTAACAGGTGTAAGAGAGTGTAGGTACAACTTGTAGCATATGTAAGAGAGTGTAGGTACAACTTGTAACAGGTGTAAGAGAGTGTAGGTACAACTTGTAGCATATGTAAGAGAGTGTAGGTACAACTTGTAACAGGTGTAAGAGAGTGTAGGTACAACTTGTAGCATATGTAAGAGAGTGTAGGTACAACTTGTAACAGGTGTAAGAGAGTGTAGGTACGACTAGTAGCATATGTAAGAGAGTGAAGGTACAACTTGTAGCATATGTAAGAGAGTGTAGGTACAACTTGTAAGATATGCAAGAGAGTTTATGTATAACTTGTAAGATATGTAAGGGAGTGTAGGTACAACTTGTAACATATGTGAGAGAGTGTAGGTACAACTTGTAACATATGTGAGAGAGTGTAGGTACAACTTGTAACATATGTAAGACTATGTAGGCACAACTTGTAACATGTGAAAGAGGGTGTAGGTACAACGTGTAGCATATGTAAGAGAGTGTAGGTACAACTTGTAAGATGTGCAAGAGAGTGTATGTATAACTTGTAAGATAAGCAAGAGAGTGTAGGTACAACGTGTAGCATATGCAAGAGAGTGTAGATACAACTTGTAACATATGTAAGAGAGTGTAGGTACTACGTGTAGTTTATTTAAGAGAGTGTAGGTACAACGTGTAGCATATGTAAGAGAGTGTAGGTACAACTTGTAACATATGTAAGAGAGTGTAGGTACAACTTGTAAGATATGTAAGGGAGTGTAGGTACAACTTGTAACATATGTGAGAGAGCGTAGGTACAACTTGTAACATATGTAAGAGAGCGTAGGTACAACTTGTAACATATGTAAGAATATGTAGGCACAACTTGTAACATGTGAAAGAGGGTGTAGGTACAACGTGTAGCATATGTAAGAGAGTGAAGGTAAAATTTGTAAGATATGTAAGAGAGTGTATGTATAACTTGTAAGATAAGCAAGAGAGTGTAGGTACAACGTGTAGCATATGTAAGAGAGTGTAGGTACAACTTGTAACAGGTGTAAGAGAGTGTAGGTACAACTTGTAACATATGTAAGAGAGTGTAGGTACAACTTGTAGTTTATGTTAGACAGTGTAGGTACAACGTATAGCATATGTAAGAGAGTGTAGGTACAACTTGTAACATATGTAAGAGAGTGTAGGTACAACGTGTAGCATATGTAAGAGAGTGTAGGTACAACGTGTAGCATATGTAAGAGAGTGTAGGTGCAACGTGTAGCATATTGAAGAGAGTGTAGGTACAACGTGTAGCATATGTAAGAGAGTGTAGGTACAACATGTAGCATATGTAAGAGAGTGTAGGTGCAACGTGTAGCATATGTAAGAGAGTGTAGGTATACTTGTAACATATGTAAGAGAGTGTAGGTATAACTTGTAGCATATGTAAGAGAGTGTAGACACAACTTGTAAGATATGTAAGAGAGTGTAGGTCCAACTTGTAACATGTGTAAGAGAATGTGTAGGTACAATTTGTAAGCTATCTAAGAGTATGTAGGCTTTTTTACATTTGTAAGAGAATGTAGGTAAACTTGTAATACTTGTAAGCGTGTGTATGTTCAATTTGTAACATATGTTATAGTGCATAGGCTCAGCTTGTAACATATGTAACATTATGTAGGCATAACTTCTAACATTTAAAATAGTATATATAAAATGACCCACAGAACAAATATATATTACCAGTGTGCTCTGGTTATCGTTTACTCGACCTGACACGACACCATACGAGTGAGTGAGTGAGTGAGTGAGTGAGTGAGTGAGTGAGTGAGTGAGTGAGTGAGTGAGTGAGTGAGTGAGTGAGTGAGTGAGTGAGTGAGTGAGTGAGTGAGTGAGTGAGTGAGTGAGTGAGTGAGTGAGTGAGTGAGTGAGTGAGTGAGTGAGTGAGTGAGTGAGTGAGTGAGTGAGTGAGTGAGTGAGTGAGTGAGTGAGTGAGTGAGTGAGTGAGTGAGTGAGTGAGTGAGTGAGTGAGTGAGTGAGTGAGTGAGTGAGTGAGTGAGTGAGTGAGTGAGTGAGTGAGTGAGTGAGTGAGTGAGTGAGTGAGTGAGTGAGTGAGTGAGTGAGTGAGTGAGTGAGTGAGTGAGTGAGTGAGTGAGTGAGTGAGTGAGTGAGTGAGTGAGTGAGTGAGTGAGTGAGTGAGTGAGTGAGTGAGTGAGTGAGTGAGTGAGTGCGTGCGTGCGTGCGTGCGTGCGTGCGTGCGTGCGTGCGTGCGTGCGTGCGTGCGTGCGTGCGTGCGTGCGTGCGTGCGTGCGTGCGTGAGTGAGTGAGTGAGTGAGTGAGTGAGTGAGTGAGTGAGTGAGAGAGTGGGGTTTTGTCCATCACTTTTATCACGCTATGATAGGATTATGTCGGAAAAAAATGATGCAGGTCTTATACGTTTCCACAAGTGAAACCAACGAGCACGGGCATGATACTGACAAACGGAACCAGTGCGAAATCTGGGTTTTAAACCCATGGTAATAGGATTCTGGCATATCTAAGGGACACAACTTAACACAGTGAATTGCGTCGCCTTAGACCACTGTCCTCTATGTCCAATTGCACCTACCTTTCCTCTCCAGATCCTCGGGAACTCGGAGGATGCCTATTAGTCGGAGACATCCGAACATAAGTAGACACAGGGCTGCTGACCACCCAGCTATAGACACCACGCCCGTCAACTGCCATGCAAGACGCTGAAACAACAGTTGATGAGGATGAGGATCTTCTGGAATTGCAGTCAATTTCCAGTTTAATAGTTTCGAATAAAATGGGACATCTGACAAAGAACTGAGACGTTCCACAACACCCCGTATGTTTTATATCAACAGAGTTTGTTTGTATGTTTTTTAGAACACACTGAACCACTTCAAGTACAGTAACTTTGTGTTTAGGGATTACCTGATGAGGTAGGTTGAAACGATAGAACTTTAACATGTTTAAAAAACTATATTCTTAAAGTCAGCAAAGTAAAACGTTACTAAAGGTAGGGTCGCACAAACTAACGGCATCTGTATGCCTGTAAAACATCAGTTCAGCCTGAAAACTTCAAAATATTCTTTAATTCAATCATTTTCCAGTGTAAAAGAAACTTTCAGGTTGCATGCTTACAGCTGAAGTCAAAATTCAAATTGCTGCAAACACAATTACCGACGACACACACATATACTTATAGTAACTGATGACCATTATTCAACCTTAGCTGCAACTACATTCCTCATCTGCAACAAAGCATAACACATAGTTCCTATGCATACTACTTTCGGTTTCCCCATGGCAACAAAGCATAACACATAGTACCTATGCATACTACTTTCGGTTTCTCCATGGCAACAAAGCATAACACATAGTTCCTATGCATACTACTTTCGGTTTCCCCATGGCAACACAGCATACACATAGTTCCTATGCATACTACTTTCGGTTTCCCCATGGCAACAAAGCATAACGCATAGTTCCTATGCATACTACTTTCGGTTTCCCCATGGCAACACAGCATACACATAGTTCCTATGCATACTACTTTCGGTTTCCCCATGGCAACACAGCATAACACAGTTCCTATGCATACTACTTTCGGTTTCCCCATGGCAACAGTGTATAACAGACTGCCATATATGCACAAGAAGTAATTTTCCTTTGCAGCAACAAGACCATTTCCTTGTCAGCAACAAGACCAAACAAATCTGCTGTGCACGCAGAATATTTTTGTCATGTGGCACTATGTATTCCACAGCGACTGTATATGTACACAGTGTAAGTTTCAATATCTGCAACTAAGTATAACCCAGCTCATGCCACATGCCCCTCTTTGACTCTGTGTGACTCTCGTTAACTCTGTGAACGCTGTATGACTCTCTATATGACTCTGTATGAGACTCTTTAACGTCTATGACTCTCGATGATACCCCATGACTTTCTTTTATGCTCTCTACATGTCAATATGACTTTCGATGACGCTCTGTGACCCTCTATGATTCTCTTTGAAACCCCTATACTCTCTATGACGTTCTGTACTCCCTTGTGACACAATGACTCTCTTTAAATCCCTATACTCTCTATGACGCTCTGTACTCCCTTGTGACACAATGACTCTCTTTGAAACCCCTATACTCTCTATGACGCTCTGTACTCCCTTGTGACACAATAACTCTCTTTGAAACCCCTATACTCTCTATGACGCTCTGTACTCCCTTGTGACACAATGACTCTCTTTGAAACCCCTATACTCTCTATGACGCTCTGTACTCCCTTGTGACACAATGACTCTCTTTGAAACCCCTATACTCTCTATGACGCTCTGTAATCCCTTGTGACACAATAACTCTCTTTGACACCCCTATACTCTCTATGACGCTCTGTACTCCCTTGTGACACAATGACTCTCTTTAAATCCCTATACTCTCTATGACGCTCTGTAATCCCTTGTGACACAATAGCTCTCTTTGACACCCCTATACTCTCTATGACGCTCTGTACTCCCTTGTGACACAATGACTCTCTTTGAAACCCCTATACTCTCTATGACGCTCTGTAATCCCTTGTGACACAATAACTCTCTTTGACACCCCTATACTCTCTATGACGCTCTGTACTCCCTTGTGACACAATGACTCTCTTTGAAACCCCTATACTCTCTATGACGCTCTGTAATCCCTTGTGACACAATAACTCTCCTTGAAACCCCTATACTCTCTATGACGCTCTGTACTCCCTTGTGACACAATGACTCTCTTTGAAACCCCTATACTCTCTATGACGCTCTGTAATCCCTTGTGACACAATAACTCTCTTTGACACCCCTATACTCTCCATGACGCTCTGTACTCCCTTGTGACACAATGACTCTCTTTAAATCCCTATACTCTCTATGACGCTCTGTACTCCCTTGTGACACAATGACTCTCTTTGAAACCCCTATACTCTCTATGACGCTCTGTAATCCCTTGTGACACAATAACTCTCTTTGAAACCCCTATACTCTCTATGACGCTCTGTACTCCCTTGTGACACAATAACTCTCTTTGAAACCCCTATACTCTCTATGACGCTCTGTACTCCCTTGTGACACAATAACTCTCTTTGAAACCCCTATACTCTCTATGACGCTCTGTACTCCCTTGTGACACAATGACTCTCTTTGAAACCCCTATACTCTCTATGACGCTCTGTACTCCCTTGTGACACAATGACTCTCTTTGAAACCCCTATACTCTCTATGACGCTCTGTAATCCCTTGTGACACAATAACTCTCTTTGACACCCCTATACTCTCTTTGACGCTCTGTACTCCCTTGTGACACAATGACTCTCTTTAAATCCCTATACTCTCTATGACGCTCTGTAATCCCTTGTGACACAATAGCTCTCTTTGAAACCCCTATACTCTCTATGACGCTCTGTACTCCCTTGTGACACAATGACTCTCTTTGAAACCCCTATACTCTCTATGACGCTCTGTAATCCCTTGTGACACAATAACTCTCTTTGACACCCCTATACTCTCTATGACGCTCTGTACTCCCTTGTGACACAATAACTCTCTTTGAAACCCCTATACTCTCTATGACGCTCTGTACTCCCTTGTGACACAATAACTCTCCTTGAAACCCCTATACTCTCTATGACGCTCTGTACTCCCTTGTGACACAATGACTCTCCTTGAAACCCCTATACTCTCTATGACGCTCTGTACTCCCTTGTGACACAATAACTCTCTTTGACACCCCTATACTCTCCATGACGCTCTGTACTCCCTTGTGACACAATGACTCTCTTTAAATCCCTATACTCTCTATGACGCTCTGTACTCCCTTGTGACACAATGACTCTCTTTGAAACCCCTATACTCTCTATGACGCTCTGTACTCCCTTGTGACACAATGACTCTCTTTGAAACCCCTATACTCTCTATGACGCTCTGTACTCCCTTGTGACACAATAACTCTCTTTGAAACCCCTATACTCTCTATGACGCTCTGTACTCCCTTGTGACACAATAACTCTCTTTGAAACCCCTATACTCTCTATGACGCTCTGTACTCCCTTGTGACACAATAACTCTCTTTGAAACCCCTATACTCTCTATGACGCTCTGTACTCCCTTGTGACACAATGACTCTCTTTGAAACCCCTATACTCTCTATGACGCTCTGTACTCCCTTGTGACACAATGACTCTCTTTGAAACCCCTATACTCTCTATGACGCTCTGTACTCCCTTGTGACACAATGACTCTCTTTGAAACCCCTATACTCTCTATGACGCTCTGTACTCCCTTGTGACACAATAACTCTCTTTGAAACCCCTATACTCTCTATGACGCTCTGTACTCCCTTGTGACACAATGACTCTCTTTGAAACCCCTATACTCTCTATGACGCTCTGTACTCCCTTGTGACACAATGACTCTCTTTGAAACCCCTATACTCTCTATGACGCTCTGTACTCCCTTGTGACACAATGACTCTCTTTGACACCCCTTTACTCTCTATGACAGCTAATACGCACAAGTACGTTTCCTCATCTGCAGCAATGAATACCACAGCTAATATGCACAAGTAAGTTTCCTCATCTGCAGCAATGTATACCACAGCTAATATGCACAAGTACGTTTCCTCATCTGCAGCAATGTACACAACAGCTAATATACACAAGTACGTTTCCTCATCTGCAGCAATGTACACAACAGCTAATATACACAAGTACGTTTCCCCATCTGCAGCAATGTATACCACAGCTAATATACACAAGTACGTTTCCCCATCTGCAGCAATGTATACCACAGCTAATATGCACAAGCACGTTTCCTCATCTGCAGCAATGTATACCACAGCTAATATACACAAGTACGTTTCCTCATCTGCAGCAATGTATACCACAGCTAATATACACAAGTACGTTTCCACATCTGCAGCAATGTATACCACAGCTAATATGCACAAGCACGTTTCCTCATCTGCAGCAATGTATACCACAGCTAATATGCACAAGTACGTTTCCTCATCTGCAGCAATGTATACCACAGCTAATATACACAAGTACGTTTCCTCATCTGCAGCAATGTATACCACAGGTAGTATGCACAAGCACGTTTCCTCATCTGCAGCAATGTACACCACAGGTAGTATGCACAAGCACGTTTCCTCATCTGCAGCAATGTATACCACAGCTAATATACACAAGTACGTTTCCTCATCTGCAGCAATGTATACCACAGGTAGTATGCACAAGCACGTTTCCTCATCTGCAGCAATGTATACCACAGCTAATATACACAAGTACGTTTCCTCATCTGCAGCAATGTATACCACAGCTAATATACACAAGTACGTTTCCTCATCTGCAGCAATGTATACCACAGCTAATATGCACAAGTACGTTTCCTCATCTGCAGCAATGTATACCACAGCTAATATACACAAGTACGTTTCCTCATCTGCAGCAATGTATACCACAGCTAATATACACAAGTACGTTTCCTCATCTGCAGCAATGTATACCACAGCTAATATACACAAGTACGTTTCCTCATCTGCAGCAATGTATACCACAGGTAGTATGGACAAGTAAGTTTCCTAATCCGCAACAATGCATACCACAGCCAGTATGCACGGGTGAGTTGCCTTTATCCGCAACAATGTATTACATAGCTGAACCTTTGAAGTTTAAACATATGTATTATTTTCAGTATTGAAGTCACTCCAACCATACACCTTCTTACAATAATAATGTATATAATTCAAATGCCTCAGTGCAGACTGAGAGGAATCTGAAACAATTTAGCAACATGATGTATGTTTGCAACTGTCCTTCACACAATAATTTTCTGTCATGTTGTGTTTTGCGAAGAGAAACCTTTTAAATGTTTCATTTTTAGGATTTCAACATACTTTGGTGTCAATATTTATGACATAAGTCATCTAGGTGCATCACTGTGCTTTAAATAACTTGGATTTTCGAATTAGTTTTAGCAATAGTGATCTGAACCACGTGATAATGATATATCTGGTCGTTAATGATCTGACAAGGTATAGTTTGTTCAGATTCCCCGACACAGGATTTCACACTTCAAAACGTTTCAGGGCGCTGAAGGGAAACCTTAACTCAAAAGTGCACACGGATTTCAGTTCGGGCGAGCCAAACATATGAAAATGATCCAACTTACCAATCCTGATTGCGTATCCCATGCAAACAGGATCCCGTCATTTTTCTTCAAGAAGGAGACAGCGATAACGCCCCAAAGACCACCTCCAAAATGAACTGTGAACGGGCAAAGGTAGAAACCTATTATTTAAGAACGACTAAAGAGACGTAAATATAATAATTTATAGAATACTCGTTTCTAATAAGGCACTGAATAAAGTCTTACTTAGTGCGTGGTGAGAAACATACAGACTATGACGTTGTTACGGCTTTCTATGAAGCTCTGTGACTGAATGATGCCCTCTGATCATCTATGACTCTATGATACCACAAGACTCTATGACGCTCTGTGACTCTCTATGACACCATGGCGCTCTATGACTCTCCATGACGCTATGTGACGCTCCATGGCGCTCAGTGACCATCTATGACTCTCTGTGAGACTGTGACCCTCTCTGACTCTCTACGATACTCAAAGACTCTCTTTGACGCTCTGTACTCTCTATGACACTCTTTGACTCTCCTTGATGCTCTGTTAAGATTTATAATTGTATATTAATGATTATGAGACCCTACCACGCTGTATGACTATTCATGATTTGTTTTTACTCCCTTTGATTCAAAGTGACATCTTTGTGACGTTGCATGACTGTGCGTGACACTCAACGACTGAATGTGATGCTGAGCGTCGAAGCTTTATGATTGTGTGACAGAGCTACGATGTTTTCTCACCCGCTGTAGCGTCGAGCGGGTCATCTACCTTCAGCTTCAGCATGATGGTTGACCACACCTTAAAGGAGATGGCGGCAAAGAAGCCTACAACCGCGGCTCCCCAGGGGTAGTACACGTTGCATCCGGCACATGCTGCTACCTGCATAATAATAATAATAATAATAATAATAATAATAATAATAATAATAACTTTGATGTTTGATGTTGATTGTTCCATTCCACGGCTGATGTTGTAGGGAAAGATTCAAAACCAACAGATTAAGTTTTCATCTGGAAACACGAGGTAGGTTATTTCACAGGATCCGACATTACGGGATGGTTGATTGTATGAGCAGTACAATGTGGACAAAAACAGCATGTGATTGATCTCGCACCAATATGCAATTCATTGAATCAATACAATGTACGTTTCTGCTCATAGCTACTAACCTCTTTACAGAAAAATCACTTCTCCCCGAGTGCAGCAGTAGTTTCGCAAAAGCTTCGCGCTAATACCAATGTGCAGTTGTTGAGCTACAGCGGTGTGTTAACGTAAATACCGCGGTGTATTCGTACAGTTACCGCGCGTTGTATGCAGAATAACCGCAGTATGTTTGCGCAATTACCACGCCGTATAAATTTAGTATCTTTACTGGTAATAGTTGTGAACATTAGAGTCCCAGTACAGAGGCCACAAGACACTGATTTCATCTTAGCCCTGGTTGCATACTATTGTATATCATACTACTGTTGTGTAGACACTTACCATTCCGGTGAGAGCACCGTTCAGAGTGTTGAGGAGACTCCAGTGACGATTGCCGAAGTATCCGGTTTTGTTTATGAAGAGGGTGACGAAGGCGGACATTGAGCCAGAAATGATGGTGTTCACGACGGATAGACTGACGCTGGAGCCGCTGCCTTCACCGGAGATGGTGAGAGCTGATCCTCCATTGAAAGCGAGGAACCCAAACAGCAGGATGAAGCCACCGAGAGCTGCGAACTGACACCATATAAGACTTCTTTACATAATCGCAACACGTTTAATATCACTCTGATTGTTTCAGTGATGGAGTTTAAGTATGTTCAAGGAATAAGGCAGCGGGACTGCAACAATAGTTTTGACAGACAGTCTAACTCCGTTGTCTCGAACTCGGATGTATCGAGTTCCCGGTTGTCTGGAATTCAATTCATAGTCACAAGAGATACAAAAACGTTTGAAACTTGCCCTGATATGTCGAATTCAAAATTGTAAAAAAAAACACAACCCAGCACAAGTAAGAATGTGTAACAAGTATGAGTGCAATCATGCAATCGGGATAAGTCATGCAAAGGGTCTAATAACACGGGATAAGTCATGCATAGGGTCTAATAACACGAGATAAGTCATGCATGGCCTCTAAGAACACGGGCATTGTCATGCACAGGGTCTAATAACACGGGATACGTCATGCATGGCCTCTAAGAACACGGGATAGGTAATACACAGGGTCTAAGAAAACGGGATAGGTAATGCATAGGGTCTTATAACACGGGATACGTCATGCATGGCCTCTAAGAACTTGGGATACGTCATGCACAGGGTCTAATAACACGGGATACGTCATGCATAGGGTCTAATAACACGGGATACGTCATGCATGGCCTCTAAGAACACGGGATAGGTAATGTACAGGGTCTAATAATACGGGATACGTCATGCATAGGGTCTAATAACACGGGATACGTCATGCATGGCCTCTAAGAACACGGGATAGGTAATGTACAGGGTCTAATAATACGGGATAAGTCATGCATAGGCTCCAAGAAAACGGGATAGGTAATGTACAGGGTCTAATAACACGGGATACATCACGCATGAGGTCGTATAACACGGAATGCACAACGCATATCTTATTATAAGACGGGATGCATCATGCACAGGGCTTTAAGCATGACATAGTGTCAGTAGAAAAAAAGGAAACTTACCGGCACGGAGTGACCTCTCAGGTCTACTGGACCACGGGTATCCGGATGGAATCGTCCCAATCTGGGTCCAAGCAATAAAGCGCCACAGAAAGCAGCTACCCCGCCGAGGATGTGAACGGCTCCGCTACCAGCAAAGTCCTGCGCATAATAAAACACAAATAAAAAAACGCGTAATGTAATCAAACGGTTAAAAAATATGTAACAAAGCAGAATATGATTATCATACTGACAAGATCACGTCGCCGTGGTCATGTCTACAACGTCATGTCTACAAGGTTTTGTCTACAAGGTCATGTTACGAGGTCATGTTTACAAGGTCATTTCTACGAGGTTATGTCTACAAGGTCATTTCTACAAGATCATTTCTATGAGGTCATGTCTACAAGGTCATGTTACGAGGTCATGTTTACAAGGTCATTTCTACAAGGTCATGTCTACGAGGTCATGTCTACAAGGTCATTTCTATGAGGTTATGTCTACAAGGTCATGTCTTCAAGGTCTCAAATACAGGGTCATGCATACAAAGTCACGGCAACCCAATGATACTTTCCATCCTTGTGACGTCGATCTAATGACAACAATGCATGTGTTGTGATCTGCGTACGTACCTCGTATCCTATCGTGTAGGTTTCATTGCCCGTGCCGTACACGGAACCGACCACAAGCCACCCATCCGCAGCCCACACCCACCGGGTCACAACGGGGTATATCACAGCTGAAAATAAATGTTAGCAGGTCAGGGTTGGTAACAATATTTAATTTAAAAAAAATGTCTTTTCCACCGTCGACAGGACATGAACCATTTGTTTTAAATTACCCCTAACTGAGTGTGTGATTCAGTTTATTGCCACTGTTATCAGTATTTCAGTTACATCACGAGTGAGTGAGTGAGTTGAATTTAACGCCGCTTTGAACAATATTCCAGTTATATCGCGGCGTGTCAGCTTAATGTGGGAGGAAAGCCCGAAGTGATGCAGGTCTCAGACGTTTACAACTTCGGTGAAACCCACGAGCACGGGTATGGTGCTGACAAACCTAGAAACATAATCGGGGCGAACCGGGGTTCGAACCCACAATCATAGGTTTCTGGTGTGCCCAAGGGACGCAACTCTGCACAGCGAATCGCGGCGCCTCAGACGACTGGGCCACCCGTGCCCCCTAGTTACATCACGAAGTGCCAGCTTGATATGAGAGGAAAGCAGATGCAGAACTTAGAAAAAATACAACTTAGGTGGAAGCCACTGTTATGGAGCTCACACACCTAGGATCGTGATCAAGATGAATTTGGGATTCGAACCCACCAAGATAGAAATGCTGATAGAAATTAAGCGACACACCTCAGCACAGCGAATTGCAGCAGGTTTGACAATGACTATCGATATGACTTTAACTTTGGGAACTCACATGTGAGAAGAAAACTGTACACGAAATAGGCCACGAACTCGCACCTCTCGGCCATGGCGCCGGACACAATGGTGGCTGCGGTTGCGGCAAAGACATACTGGAAGAAAAAGGTGGCGAAATCCGTGTCCGGCAGGTCGTGGGAGGCCCAAAAAGAGTAGCCGATGAAACTGTTTCCTTTTCCGTATGCAAGTGGGTAGCCAATCACCCAGTACGCGATACCCGCAACAACTGAAACATGGATGGTGTTGTATTTATACATATTTAAACATATATTACGAACCAGATTCAGAATTATTGGGATTTGATCGTCCAATTAATCTGCCAGACAACTGCTGCATGACTCACGGGTGTTATCTATACCTTATTTTGTTGCCTTTCATACACATGGGACATCATGACTCATAGCATTGCAAAATATTACGGTGTAGGTGCAATCTCATTCAAATCAGATCTTAGTTCTCGCTCCGCTAAACAAAGATCTGAGGACATCCCATTAGGGGTCACCTTTTACTTTACTTTATTAAGATGTCGTGTTAGAGGAAGTGACGACATGACTATTTGCTGGTTCTCCAAATTAGGATATTTTACCTCAGGCAGTGTCTGACATGGAGTAATTAGTGTGAGAGTTGGGTTTATCAATCCAAAACCTGCTCCCACAGGAGATATGGCTTGGGTGAGCTCAAGCGATATCTGCATTGTAGATGTCGCTGGAATGAAATTGCATCACAATGCTATGCAGACCATTGTGACGTGTTTGGTTACCATGACGTCACAATCAAATGACATCATTCATGGCTCTGCTACTGAAGCTGTTAGCAGTATTTTCTACTCTAAAGAGACTACTTATTCCTGTCTACAAACTGAAAAAGTTGGAAGAATGATGTTAAATAATAAATAAAATCTCACCCTCGTATCTTTTGATATAAATGTTTCACAGCCTTATCTTAGTTAACTTCAATGTTGCATATCCTTATCTTAGATAACTTCACTGTTGCACAGCCTTATTTAAATTAACTTCAGTGTTGCACAGCCTTATCTTAGTTAACTTCAGTGTTGCACAGCCTTATCTTAGTTAACTTCAGTGTTGCATATCCTTATCTTAGTTAACTTCACTGTTGCATATCCTTATCTTAGTTAACTTCAGTGTTGCACAGCCTTATCTTAGTTAACTTCAGTGTTGCAAATCCTTATTTAAATTAACTTCAGTGTTGCATATCCTTATCTTAGATAACTTCACTGTTGCACAGCCTTATTTAAATTAACTTCAGTGTTGCACAGCCTTATCTTAGTTAACTTCAGTGTTGCACAGCCTTATCTTAGTTAACTTCAGTGTTGCATATCCTTATCTTAGTTAACTTCACTGTTGCATATCCTTATCTTAGTTAACTTCAGTGTTGCATATCCTTATCTTAGTTAACTTCAGTGTTGCACAGCCTTATCTTAGTTAACTTCAGTGTTGCAAATCCTTATTTTAGTTAACTTCAGTGTTGCAAAGCCTTATCTTAGTTAACTTCAGTGTTGCAAAGCCTTATCTTAGTTAACTTCAGTGTTGCACAGCCTTATCTTAGTTAACTTCAATGCTGCACAGCCTTATCTTAGTTAACTTCAATGCTGCACAGCCTTATCTTAGTTAACTTCAATGCTGCACAGCCTTATCTTAGTTAACTTCAGTGTTGCACATCCTTATCTTAGTTAATTTCAGTGTTGCACAGCCTTATCTTAGTTAATTTCAGTGTTGCACATCCTTATCTTAGTTAACTTCAGTGTTGCACATCCTTATCTTAGTTAATTTCAATGTTGCACATCCTTATCTTAGTTAACGTCAGTGTTGTACAACCGTATCTAAGTTAACGTCTTTGTTGTACAACCTTCAGTGTTGCACATCCTTATCTTAGTTAACTTCAATGCTGCACAGCCTTATCTTAGTTAATTGCAGTGTTGCACAGCCTTATCTTAGTTAATTTCAGTGTTGCACAGCCTTATCTTAGTTAATTTCAGTGTTGCATATCGTTTTCTTAGTTAACGTCAATGCTGCACAGCCTTATCTTAGTTAAATTCAATGCTGCACAGCCTTATCTTAGTTAACTTCAATGCTGCACAGCCTTATCTTAGTTAACTTCAGTGTTGCACATCCTTATCTTAGTTAATTTCAGTGTTGCACAGCCTTATCTTAGTTAATTTCAGTGTTGCACATCCTTATCTTAGTTAACTTCAGTGTTGCACATCCTTATCTTAGTTAATTTCAGTGTTGCACATCCTTATCTTAGTTAACGTCAGTGTTGTACAACCGTATCTAAGTTAACGTCTTTGTTGTACAACCTCATGTTAGTTAACGATTTATTTCTGAAACAGCGACATTAACACACCGCTGTATATGACTGACCAACTGTCATTGCAACACATTTGTTGCAAATATTTACTGTTGTTGTTGTTGTTGTGAATAAACAATTGAAAAAATGACCCCTGATGAACATATATATTCTTCATGCTGATGAAAAAGCGCCGCCAACAAATCTTGAGTGGATCAGTCAGATTATCATCTCGTGAAGTTAGGTCGAATATTCGACAGGTGTTGTACAGGTGGTCGTAAAAGCAGAGGAGATTAATCACATTGTTTAACTAGGGTGGTAGACTGGTCGTATTGCTGCGATAAGTATTTGCATTAGGCTTGTGGTTAGCCAAGTAACATTCTCGGGAATAGGTTGTAAGCCAAGTACAGTGAATATAAAGCTTTTTTTATACGTTGTATACGTGGTTGTAACAATGAGTGGGCTGTATACGTGGTTATAACAGTGTGTGGGTTGTATACATACTTCTAAGAGTGAGTGGGTTGTATACGTGGTTGTAACAGTGAGTGGGTTGTATACATGGTTGTAAGAGTGAGTCGGCTGTATACATGCAGGTTGTAACAGTGAGTCGGCTGTAAACGTGGTTGTAACAGTGAGTGGGCTGTATACATGGTTGTAACAGTGAGTGGGCTGTATACATTGTTGTAAGAGTGAGTGGGTTGTATACATGTTTGTAACAGTCAGTGGGTTGTATACATGGTTGTAACAGTGTGTGGGTTGTATATGTGGTTGTAACAGTGTGTGGGTTGTATACATGGTTGTAACAGTGAGTTGGCTGTATACATGGTTGTAAGAGTGAGTGGGCTGTATACATGGTTGTAAGAGTGAGTGGGTTGTATACATGGTTGTAAGAGTGAGTGGGCTGTATACATGGTTGTAAGAGTGAGTGGGCTGTATACATGGTTGTAACAGTGAGTGGGTTGTATACATGGTTGTAACAGTGAGTGGGCTGTATACATGGTTGTAACAGTGAGTGGGCTGTAAATGTGGTTGTAACAGTGAGTGGGCTGTATACATGGTTGTAAGAGTGAGTCGGCTGTATATGTGGTTGAAAGAGTGAGTCGGCTGTATGCATGCATGGTTGTAACAGTGAGTGGGCTGTAAACGTGGTTGTAACAGTGAGTGGGCTGTATACATGGTTGTAACAGTGAGTGGGCTGTATACATGGTTGTAAGAGTGAGTGGGTTGTATACATGTTTGTAACAGTCAGTGGGTTGTATACATGGTTGTAACAGTGTGTGGGTTGTATACGTGGTTGTAACAGTGTGTGGGTTGTATACATGGTTGTAACAGTGAGTTGGCTGTATACATGGTTGTAACAGTGAGTGGGCTGTATACATGGTTGTAACAGTGAGTGGGTTGTATACATGGTTGTAAGAGTGAGTGGGCTGCATACATGGTTGTAAGAGTGAGTGGGCTGTATACATGGTTGTAACAGTGAGTGGGTTGTATACATGGTTGTAACAGTGAGTGGGCTGTATACATCGTTGTAACAGTGAGTGGGCTGTATACATGGTTGTAAGAGTGAGTCGGCTGTATACATGGTTGTAAGAGTGAGTGGGCTGTATACATGGTTGTAACAGTGAGTGGGCTGTATACATGGTTGTAACAGTGAGTGGGTTGTATACATGGTTGTAAGAGAGAGTGGGCTGTATACATGGTTATAAGAGTGAATGGGCTGTATACATGGTTGTAAGAGCTAGTGGGCTGTATACATGGTTGTAAGAGTGAATGGGCTGTATACATGGTTGTAAGAGTGAGTGGGTTGTATACATGGTTGTAAGAGTGAGTCGGCTGTATACATGGTTGTAAGAGTGAATGGGCTGTATACATGGTTGTAAGAGTGAGTGGGCTGTATACATGAATGTAAGAGTGAGTGGGCTGTATACATGGTTGTAAGAGTGAGTGAGCTGTATACATGGTTGTAACAGTGAGTGGGTTGTATACATGGTTGTAACAGTGAGTGGGCTGTATACATGTTGTAACAGTGAGTGGGTTGTATACATGGTTGTAAGAGAGAGTGGGCTGTATACATGGTTGTAAGAGTGAGTCGGCTGTATGCATGCATGGTTGTAACAGTGAGTGGGCTGATAACGTGGTTGTAACAGTGAGTGGGCTGTATACATGGTTGTAAGAGTGAGTGGGTTGTATACATGTTTGTAACAGTCAGTTGGTTGTATACATGGTTGTAACAGTGTGTGGGTTGTATACATGGTTGTAACAGTGAGTTGGCTGTATATATGGTTGTAACAGTGAGTGGGCTGTATACATGGTTGTAACAGTGAGTGGACTGTATACATGGTTGTAAGAGTGAGTGGGTTGTATACATGGTTGTAACAGTGAGTGGGCTGTATACCTGGATGTAAAACTGAGTTGGTTGTATACATGGTTGTAAGAGTGAGTGGGCTGTATACATGGTTGTAAGAGTGAGTGGGCTGTATACATGGTTGTAAGAGTGAGTGGGTTGTATACATGGTTGTAACAGTGAGTGGGCTGTATACATGGTTGTGACAGTGAGTGGGCTGTAAATGTGGTTGTAACAGTGAGTGGGTTGTATACATGGTTGTAAGAGAGAGTGGGCTGTATACATGGTTGTAAGAGTGAGTGGGCTGTATACATGGTTATAACAGTGAGTGGGCTGTATATGTGGTTGAAACAGTGGCTGGGCTGTATACATGGTTGTAACAGTGAGTGGGTTGCATACATGATTATAACAGTGAGTGGGTTGTATACATGATTGTAACAGTGAGTGGGTTGTGTAAATGGTTGTTACAGTGAGTAGGCTGCATACATGGTTGTAACAGTGAGTGGGTTGTATACATGATTGTAACAGTGAGTGGGTTGTGTAAATGGTTGTAACAGTGAGTAGGCTGTATACATGGTTGTAACAGGTAGGTTGCATTTATGGTTAAAGGGAATGTTTCGCTACACATGCTAGTGTGCTCTGGAATATGCTTATTTTGATGTAACTCACATGAGTCCATGAGATTCTTGATGAGGATGTTAGTAGAGTTTTTGCTGCGTACGGCACCGGCTTCCAAAAAGGCGAAGCCCCCTTGCATCACTGAAATATAAATCATTACCATTAAAAACGAAACGTTGGAAATGCAAACAAAATATTCTGGAGAATATAAGATTAATTATTTTAATTTTAAATTCAGTATAAATGCATTTGGGTTGTGTGGGGCAAAGTGGGGTTAAACATATTTTCATTTCTTAAGTACGTTACAAATAAAAAAATGTATTCTTTATTATAATGTACTGTGTCACCTCTGTAATTTGGCCATGTCCTCTGTAATTAGGGTACAAATATTAATTTTTTAACACTTTTCGAAAATAAAAATGAAGTATTGGGGGAGAAGTCTCTCTTTTTGGGCGGGTAGATCATGAAAAAACATATTTTTATAACAACCTCATCTAAGATAAACATGTCGTCGGTACACGATACATGCCATAATAGGACCATGTCTGTGTCTCATATTTACACAGCAAATGATCACTGCGTACAACATCTTGTTGGATCATTAATGACCAAAGAGGAGTGACACGCCACGCATACATCAACCGCAGTATCTACAGATCGCATCTACAGAGGCAACACAAGCTGTTTCAGTGAGCCAGTTTTTTTATGAGCTAGCATTACCTACATCTACCAGAACATCTGCAACGTATTCATGTACCAGTTTTATCCAACGATGTATTTGCCAAATAATATTCATCCACTTGTTGAGCCGGTGTAGTGGGCTCAAACGACTCCTCCTAAATTTTGCTCTAGAGTCATATGGGCCTAGGCTCAAATGACTGCCCTAGCCAGGCTCAAAACACTCCCTCTAGGCTCATCTAACTCCCCTACTGGGCCCAAATGACTCCCCTTGTTTTGAAACAAAATAATTACAGAAAAGATCAAACCTATCTTGGGTGTGGGGTGGGGTGTGGGGTCGGCAGTCGTCTAAGGCGCCGCGATTCGCCCCGATTATGTTTCTAGGTTTGTCAGCACCATACCCGTGCTCGTGGGTTTCACCGAAGTGGTAAACGTCGGAGACCTGCATCACTTCGGGCTTTCCCCCCACATTAAGCTGACACGCCGCGATATAACTTGAATACTGTTAAACGCGGCGTTAAACCCAACTCACTCACTAGTATACAGAGACACCTTACTATACCCAGACACGCTATATACTCAAACATCTTAGTATGCCCAAAGACCTTAGTCTGACCCTGTATACTCAGACACCTTAGTATGTCCAAACACGTCGTATACTCATATACCCTATTATAACCAACCATCTTATTATATCAAGACATATTTCAAAATGATCTATACAAAGTGGGTGAGTGAGTCACACAGGTTTCATCAGTATTTTAAGTGAATTTCGAAGTGATAAAGGCTTTAGATATTTACCCACTAGTGTTGGCACGGTCCCTGACCGGGGTTTCCGGTGCCTACAACGATTGGCCACATGTGCCCAAATTGATTTATTGAACATACGAACAGACCCAAGCCTTACCCAACAAAAACACTGGAGTTGATTGAGATAAACATACAACTTTAACACGGAATAGGTCGATATTGTTTATATGTACATTATATTGAAACCATTGAATGCATGTTTATTCAGGGGGTGAGTGAGTAAGGTTTTACGCCGCTTTTAGCAATATTCCAGCAATATCACGGCGGGGGACACAAGAAATGGGCTTCAAAAATTGTACCCATGTCGGGAATCGAACCCGGGTCTTCGGCGTAACGAGCGAACGCTTTAACCACTAGGCTACCCGACCGCCCCTGTTTATTCAGGATATTAGTTAAGTGGTTAAATTTATGTATGTTCTGAGAAAATATTACAAGGAAACTGTTTACATATTCATGAACTACTTTAGGGGAGAGTGTATGAAAGGAATGCATTTAGTGATTCATGTGCATTAGGTAGGGAGTGTCTGGCATCTTTCATGTATTTCGGAGATACCAGAGGTTGTTTTGAATGATACAATTGTTGTACGAGACATGGTTGTAGTGCAAAACATGATGATGAAGCGATACATGACTGCCATGTGAGATAACACTATAGTGCCAGACATGATCACAGCGCGAGTCATTGTTGTAGCACGAGACATGGTTGTAGTGCAAAACATGATGATGAAGCGATACATGACTGCCATGTGAGATAACACTATAGTGCCAGACATGATCACAGCGCGAGTCATTGTTGTAGCACGAGACATGGTTGTAGTGCAAAACATGATGATGAAGCGATACATGACTGCCATGTGAGATAACACTATAGTGCCAGACATGATCACAGCGCGAGTCATTGTTGTTGTACGAGACATGGTTGTAGTGCAAAACATGATGATGAAGCGATACATGACTGCCATGTGAGATAACACTATAGTGCCAGACATGATCACAGCGCGTGTCATTGTTGTAGCACGAGACATGGTTGTAGTGCAAAACATGATGATGAAGCGATACATGACTGCCATGTGAGATAACACTATAGTGCCAGACATGATCACAGCGCGTGTCATTGTTGTAGCACGAGACATGGTTGTAGTGCAAAACATGATGATGAAGCGATACATGACTGCCATGTGAGATAACACTATAGTGCCAGACATGATCACAGCGCGAGTCATTGTTGTAGCACGAGACATGGTTGTAGTGCAAAACATGATGATGAAGCGATACATGACTGCCATGTGAGATAACACTATAGTGCCAGACATGATCACAGCGCGAGTCATTGTTGTAGCACGAGACATGGTTGTAGTGCAAAACATGATGATGAAGCGATACATGACTGCCATGTGAGATAACACTATAGTGCCAGACATGATCACAGCGCGAGTCATTGTTGTAGCACGAGACATGGTTGTAGTGCAAAACATGATGATGAAGCGATACATGACTGCCATGTGAGATAAAACTATAGTGCCAGACATGATCACAGCGCGAGTCATTGTTGTAGCACGAGACATGGTTGTAGTGCAAAACATGATGATGAAGCGATACATGACTGCCATGTGAGATAACACTATAATGCCAGACATGATCACAGCGCGAGTCATTGTTGTAGCACGAGACATGGTTGTAGTGCAAATCATGATGATGAAGCGATACATGACTGCCATGTGAGATAACACTATAGTGCCAGACATGATCACAGCGCGAGTCATTGTTGTAGCACGAGACATGGTTGTAGTGCAAAACATGATGATGAAGCGATACATGACTGCCATGTGAGATAACACTATAATGCCAGACATGATCACAGCGCGAGTCATTGTTGTAGCACGAGACATGGTTGTAGTGCAAAACATGATGATGAAGCGATACATGACTGCCATGTGAGATAACACTATAGTGCCAGACATGATCACAGCGCGAGTCATTGTTGTAGCACGAGACATGGTTGTAGTGCAAAACATGATGATGAAGCGATACATGACTGCCATGTGAGATAACACTATAATGCCAGACATGATCACAGCGCGAGTCATTGTTGTAGCACGAGACATGGTTGTAGTGCAAAACATGATGATGAAGCGATACATGACTGCCATGTGAGATAACACTATAATGCCAGACATGATCACAGCGCGTGTCATTGTTGTAGCACGAGACATGGTTGTAGTGCAAAACATGATGATGAAGCGATACATGACTGCCATGTGAGATAACACTATAGTGCCAGACATGATCACAGCGCGTGTCATTGTTGTAGCACGAGACATGGTTGTAGTGCAAAACATGATGATGAAGCGATACATGACTGCCATGTGAGATAACACTATAGTGCCAGACATGATCACAGCGCGTGTCATTGTTGTAGCACGAGACATGGTTGTAGTGCAAAACATGATGATGAAGCGATACATGACTGCCATGTGAGATAACACTATAGTGCCAGACATGATCACAGCGCGTGTCATTGTTGTAGCACGAGACATGGTTGTAGTGCAAAACATGATGATGAAGCGATACATGACTGCCATGTGAGATAACACTATAGTGCCAGACATGATCACAGCGCGAGTCATTGTTGTAGCACGAGACATGGTTGTAGTGCAAAACATGATGATGAAGCGATACATGACTGCCATGTGAGATAACACTATAATGCCAGACATGATCACAGCGCGAGTCATTGTTGTAGCACGAGACATGGTTGTAGTGCAAAACATGATGATGAAGCGATACATGACTGCCATGTGAGATAACACTATAGTGCCAGACATGATCACAGCGCGAGTCATTGTTGTAGCACGAGACATGGTTGTAGTGCAAAACATGATGATGAAGCGATACATGACTGCCATGTGAGATAACACTATAATGCCAGACATGATCACAGCGCGAGTCATTGTTGTAGCACGAGACATGGTTGTAGTGCAAAACATGATGATGAAGCGATACATGACTGCCATGTGAGATAACACTATAGTGCCAGACATGATCACAGCGCGAGTCATTGTTGTAGCACGAGACATGGTTGTAGTGCAAAACATGATGATGAAGCGATACATGACTGCCATGTGAGATAACACTATAATGCCAGACATGATCACAGCGCGAGTCATTGTTGTAGCACAAGACATGGTTGTAGTGCAAAACATGATGATGAAGCGATACATGACTGCCATGTGAGATAACACTATAATGCCAGACATGATCACAGCGCGTGTCATTGTTGTAGCACGAGACATGGTTGTAGTGCAAAACATGATGATGAAGCGATACATGACTGCCATGTGAGATAACACTATAATGCCAGACATGATCACAGCGCGTGTCATTGTTGTAGCACGAGACATGGTTGTAGTGCAAAACATGATGATGAAGCGATACATGACTGCCATGTGAGATAACACTATAATGCCAGACATGATCACAGCGCGTGTCATTGTTGTAGCACGAGACATGGTTGTAGTGCAAAACATGATGATGAAGCGATACATGACTGCCATGTGAGATAACACTATAATGCCAGACATGATCACAGCGCGTGTCATTGTTGTAGCACGAGACATGGTTGTAGTGCAAAACATGATGATGAAGCGATACAT